ATTTGAGATTTCATTATCAACATTCTCATCAAATTGTTACTTCCTATATATTACACTTTCTTATAAAATTCAGGTTCGATATTCATTTCAATTACAATTTTCTTGGCAGAAATCATAGCAATTGCGCATATCTTTCTTCTTTATACTTGTTAAAGAAAGAAATCAAACTTTTTCACTTCACATAACTTGTTTTTAAACTTGTGCATAGTTTATTAGATTTAATAAAAAATGAAGCCCCACAAATGTGGGGCCTAAAGCAATTGCTTGCTCTATAGAAGGCCATCCCTGCTGGTTATGGTTCTACGCCAAAGGTAATTCAAACATAAAACAAGTAAAAACTATGTTTACCTATTCTCTGTGAATTTTTTCATTTTTTATACGGCTTGTCTTTTGCAAAATTGTTATTGTTAAGTAACTCAAATATGGAATAAGGACTTTCTATATGGTTCGATAAATATAATTAAACAATCATTTATAAAAGAAAAATATTAAAAGTGTGAATTCCTAAAATGATGGATGTTTATCCTATTTAGCTAAATGAAAAAATCTTCAAGATTAAATGACAAATAAAATTAAATAATAAAGTTTTAAATTAATTGTAGTTGTAATTTTATGTATGATTTATTCACTTAGGACAGGTAAAACGTGGGAAAACATAACATGTTGAAAGTTAGTGCTTTATAATATCTAGATAGGTTGTGCATATATAAATTAGAGTTTTAATTCCATTAATAAATATTTTATAAATTTTGATTTAAATAAAAATCTTTTAGAGTTTTGCTATACAATCTAACTTTATTTTCTAATATTTTTTGTAGTAGGTGCATTGAGTATATATTCATAAAGTTCTCACTATCTTTTATTTATTGTAAAATAAATTTTTGTTTTTATTGCTTAATCAAATTACTCAATTGAGCAAACTAATTTTATTGTAAACTTTTTATCCTAACATTAATTAAGATCAAACGTAACATCTTCTATTTCAATGCAAATTCAGTGCTATCATTACTGTTATAGGAAACCACTCATATATGCTAGAGTACAAGAAAAATAAAGTTTTTTAAAAAAATAATTATAATATCCAATTCAAAATTTTAAAAGCCATTTTCTTGCTTTTGACTTTTTAAATTAATTTAAGATCTTCCAATTCAATAAAAACATAATACTCAGTTATGAGGAAGTACTCATATATTTGCGCTGGAATACAATGAGTAACGTTTCCAGATAAGGAAATAAAGTTCTTTCTTAGTTAATCAAAAGTGTCGAAATTTTCAAAAGAAAAAGTATAAGTGGTAAATTCATACTTTAACTCAACGCCCTAAATATTAGTTCCTTTAAATTTTAGAATAATTTTAGTACCTAATCAAAGCCTCTTCTGATTTTTTAAAGGAAATTTTACCTCCTATAGCAAAAGTTGATACCTTATTTATTATAAATAAATATCCTTTTAAAAAATTATCTATTATCCTTTTAATTTTTATAGCAAAATATCTATTTGTGGTCACTTCCTACCTTTAAGCCATTAAATACATTGTGTATTATTTTTCTCTTCCCTCTCTCCTCCTTTCTCTTTCCTCTTTCTTCTCTTTTTCCCCCGGTTTTTTCCTCCCCTGCTTTTAGGAACCCTGGCAGGGGTTGTGTTCCGCCAACAACAGATCCGGCCGGCGACCACTTTCCCCCTTCCTTGTTGTGTCACCCCTAACCCACTCCTTCGGCCTCCGATTTCTTTCACACAGTTGTGTTACACATTCTAAATTTTTCTTAGATTTTGCATTGATTGTTCATGTTTGCCTTGTGCGATCTGAAGAAGTTCTGTCTCTAGTTTCCGTTTGATCCTTTAAATTGGTGCTTCTTCAACAATTGTCTTCATTTAACCGGCGGGGACGCCCCACAAGGCGGCGTCCTGGATATCGGTGAATTGGGGAGGGAGTTTGGGGCTGAGGAACTTGAAGAGTCTGTTACCTTTTTTTCATTGTATTTCAATGTATCTCGTTGTATTTCATGTATTCACTGTCTTTTTTTCATTGTATTTCAATGTATCTCGCTATATTCCATGTATTTCATTATATTCACTGTCTCGTTATATTCCATGAATGTATTCATATGTTTTTTAATTAATATAATTTGTATTCAGATGTATATATGTGTTCAAATGTATCTGCAGTATGTATTCATATATTTTTGCACTATAGATGACCTACTATATTTCATGTATTCAATGTATTTTTATGTATTTAACTGTATTCAATGTAATTATATAATTTCAATATATAAATCTATTTGTAAAGATGCCACTAAAAAATATTTTAGTAAAGATACCACTAAAAGAAAGGATGGATTGAATCTCTGAAGATTGCTCTGTTTTTGGAATATTTTTCGGTTGAGAATCTTTTCTATAACTGAAAATACAAATGTTGTGTGTTATAATTGAGTTTGTTGAGTTATATTAGGAATCTATCGCGTTATTGATTCGCTTATCATTTTAAACAGCTGAAGACCTTTTTTTTCGCAAATTCCATTATTGTATTCATGAATACAGCTCGCGAATATAGTCGAATATATTCTCTGGTTAGCTGGACTCCCCTGTTTTCTGCCTAGTTTTGCTACTTTATTCATGGATACAGTAGCAAAAATACATCGAATATAGTCTATAACAACTGAAAACATAGTTATATGAAGTAATTTAGTAAATGGTAGCTATAGCAAGCTAATAATTACTAAAACATAGTGGTTTCTGAAAAATTCTCTTTTTTAAACTTTTTTTTAAAGTGCTAAATATTAGGACTTCTTACATAGTTCAAATAAGTAAAGATTTGATAACCAAAATTATAGAATTTTAGAATCCTAAATATTAGGAAACTTATAAATTATAATTTTGTCTTATGTAAAACTCTATGTTTAAAGGGTAAAAAGGCGAACAATATTTCACTAAGGGTATTCGTGCTTTTAATATAGAGTGTGTGTGTATGTGTATAAATATATAAGGTAAACGATATTTCACTAAGAGCATTCGTGCTTTTAATATAGAGTGTGTGTGTGTGTGTGTGTGTATTTGAGATCATTAACTGCAAATGGAAACATCCAAACCAATTCATCAACAAAAAGAAAATGAAAACGTCCAAATCAGAAACTAGTACGGCGTGACCCCCAAAAGGAATAGAAAGTCTCAAAACTCCATTGTTGGACCTTAAAAAGTGTTGAAGAAGATAAATGGATCTTTTTGATTTGGTGCTATTCGACTAAATTGATGATTGGGTATTGTTTGTGTTGGTATTTTGATGCTTTGTTTCAAATTTGAGATAATTTAGAGCAGATTTGGAATGCTTTGATCGAAATTGAAGTTGCAAATTTGAAGAACACTTTGTTAAAACAACCCAAAAAAAGTATGCCAATCCGGTAGATTTAGATGAACAACTTAACAGTTAGGTAGACAAAATATAACATCAATTCTATCGACCCAGTAGAGAAATTCCTAAAGAGCAGAAGTATGACAATCTGGTAGACTTCAATGAACAACTTAATAGATATGTAGAGTAATAATAATATCTACTCTATCAGATTGATAGAGAAATCCCGAAAAGCAAAAGTATGACAATCCAGTAGACCTCGATGAACAATTTAATCCGATAGAGAAACCCATGAAGAACTTGTGCGGATCCAAAGTTATTTTCTAAATACCACAAATTCTGAGGATATTCCCCTAAAACCACCCCGAAAAAGTCTCTTTTGCGTCAATCACCCCATCCAAATCAAACCACAAATGGGCTTCACTACCCCCTCTTTTGGTTCTTTTGGTTCTTTTCAGTTAAAATTGGGGCATTTGCATCTATACCCACTTTTTGGGTCACGTTTTAACTTGTGTCTGCTTTGCAAAAAAAATTGCAAGCACACCCACTTTTTTGCGTAACTTCAGCATACGGGGCAGAAGTAGCAAAGGCAATCACGCAAAACTTTAGCATTCTAGTAGACGGGTCTGAAGTAGCAAGTGTGTTGAACCAAGTGTGCTGAAGTTTTTGTTTGTAATTGTTGAACTTAAGCATAGTAGCTAAAGTTTTGTTCTCTATTTGTTGAAGTTTTTGTTTGTAATTGCACTAAATAAGCTGAAGTTTTTTTGTCCTAGATTCATTAGTTTTGTCATTAAGCTTTTTCAAAAATATCAGCAAAAGATGCTGAAATTATTTAGTTCATTTATAAAAACTTCAGCACTTTTTTTTGTTCTGAATAAGCTTTTTCAAAAACTTCAGCAGAAGATGCTGAAGGTATTTAGTTCGTTTGTAAAAACTTCAGCACTAAAAGCTGAAGTTTTTTTGTCATGGATTCATTAGTTTTGTCACGAAACTTTTTCAAAAACTTCAACAGAAGATGCTGAAGTTATTTAGTTCATTTGTAAAAACTTCATCATTATATAAGCTGAAGTTTTTGAAAAAGCTTTCTAACATACTAGATAAATAGTCAGATTGCCAACAGTATCTAAATCATAAATTTTGGAAACAATAAACGTGAAAAGAACAGAATTATCATTGTCTACCAACTTACGTACGTGGAAATATTCACAAATTATTGTCTACTAACTTACGTAATTATTTATAATTTATTTTTAAATAATCTGATAAACATATTTATGGCAATCATCCCATGAACTGAAGTTTTATAGCAGCACCAACAGCAGCAGAAGAAAGAAGAAGAAGAAGAGTGGGAACGAAGGAGGAGGAGAAAGGGGGTTAAAGTTGTTTAAAAAGTGGGTACAAGTTAAAACTTTTTTTTAAAAATAGGTATAGGTTAAATGGGAACGACCGAATAGGGCGCCCCGTACAATTTTTACGTTTAAGAGGTTTCAAGGGGAAAGGCTTAGGCAGTCCGGTCGCCCCATGCAATTTTTTCGTTTAAGAGGTTTCAAGGGGAAAGGCTTAGGCAATATGGTGTATGCAGAGTGTGTGCACGCGCGCTTGTATACATACAGCCGGAACAAGCTTACTACAAAATTAACAAATATGTACAAATTTACATGTATGTGCGTATCACAGAAAATTAACTATACACCAACTGGTACCAACACATTCAAATGCCTGTCATACAAAAATTGAATTGAAATAGAGAACTTCATGCACTTCATAGAAAGATCAAGCAAAAGCAACTATCCGCATGCTGCCAATATAAACATTTGACATCATTTCGAACTTCATTGTGAATTCTAGAAGCAAAAGATTAATGCCTCATTTAATGGGATAATTACTTACAGCCATATCCTTCCTCTGTTTTCCAAATAAGGTGCTCTCCTTAAATACAAATAATAGCTGCTCCATAGCCCAAACTCAAATTTGTGATTTACTTTCAAGAGACGTATTATATTATTTCGGACAATTGCTCCTTCAGGATCAGGCACTACGCTAAGGTTAAGTGGGTCAACCAAAAACAAAGAAGCTAAAAGAAGAGGAAACACTGATAAAATCTGTACAATGATCAGCGTAGCAAAATTCCCTGCACCCCTTACCGGCACGAGCCCTACCGTTGCAATGAACTGGAAAAACCTGCTCCCCGGAACACTAGTGGGCAAAGAGAAGCTAAAAACTATGTACCAAAACTGCCTTGACTATGATGACGTATAATTGGAGAATGCATCATGACTAAGGCAGAAACAAAAATTCTTCTACCAAGACTGCCCCAGCCACCTACGTTGAATATCCTTGCAAAATGTTATTAACAATGACGGATGCCATACCATCGTCATTTTGCAAACTTAGCGCATCCCAAGGGTAGATGATGACTTAGGCTGGACATGCCATTAGCACGGATCAGGTAACTTGATTCTGGCAATCATATATTCAGAGACAAGCTAACCATCAACGTTTGTGCTCTCAGCAGCAGCTTTGATTGCCTCAGCAGTCATGAGAGCAACAACAGCTTTATGGATGGCTAGATCAGCTCTGTAGAGTAACCTCTGGGCCCTCTCCCTCTTAAGTTTAGCCATGTTAAGAGCATGCTGTGCTGCTCCAGAGGCATCATGCAACCTGAATTCATGAAGATCTGAACTGTCAAATTGCTCAATTGCAAGCCCACGAGATCCTTCAGGTTGATGCTTTTGACTAGGCCACTCAGGTAAGCCCATATTCCACCTATGAACCCCATTACGCTTCACAACAGTTCTCTGATCATATGAAGCCACCATCTGTCTATTACTAAGAGAGTGAAATGACCCGATCTTCTTTGGTTTGTTCCTATAAAACTTTGGCTGATGATTCCAATCTGACACATCTGAGTTCAAGGAAAAAAACCCAGAAGCCTCTCGTGGAGAAAAAACTCGGGGTGACGGATGAAGCATAGGGGAACCATCTGAATATTCATGGGTCTGATACACAACCATCTCATCTCCATGTGCATATCCATTTAATCTTCTCCCTGTGAAGGAAAAAAACATTCTTTTATAAAATCACTATAAAGTAGTTACGCAAGATAAGAAAAAAAGAAAAATAATATTTTTAAAACAAACAGGCATGGATGTTTGCATAGTAGTAAGAAATGTACCAAAGGGATGAAGACCATCTTGATCCCTTGGGACAGCATGACTGTGTCCTGAAACTGAGATTTTTCTATGTGAGCGTTGTTTTGAGCCCTTGTTAGGAACCTCCAGACCTCGAGGCTTCAAACAAAATGCAGACATAGGTGGTTTCTCCACGGAAGCTGCTTTCTCCTGGCCTACAATGGCAAAGCCAAGATTAGCATTTGACATTGCTTGCTCCCAGTCCTTCAGTTGCTGCTGATACCTCTCCCAAAGGGGGGGCTGAAGGAAAAAGAAAAAGAATCAGTAAATTGTCTCAGAAAGATCAATCCCATCAAATAGTATTGCAAGCAATACAAATGAAAACTTAAGCATGAAGGAATTTAATAAATATGACCACGAGAAAGATAAGACACGTGAAAGGGTATCAGTCTGATATAGACAGTTTAGCAAGGTAGCGAACATACCAATAAACATGGCATTCACCCAAGTGAGCAATCAAAGGAGTACTTTTTTATCAGTTAAAGTCAGCAAAGAGTCGCCGGGGCAATAAAAAAGCAAGTAAAGACAACAGCACAATTCTTTAACAATTCCTTTATAAAACTGGGACACACACATACAGTTTGAAAGCGACAAACGGGCATAGCATCTCATCTCTCCAATCATCAAAATGTGCCATGTCTCAAATTGGAACATCTTTAAAGATTGAATTTAATGAAGGCATTTCTTAATCGCACATCAGGTAGAGCATATGTTGGCTCTTGCCTTCACAACAGAGTGGGCAAGTTGTTTACTCACAAGAAGCATCTTTCAAAGCAAACTCATAAGGGCCCATCAGCAAGCACCACCAATGTAGCTGATGCAGTGAAAGGTCATAACAAAGATCAAGACACATCAGCGCAGACATCCCTTGTCAAATATAAATAATCTAAACTGAAGGGAGGACTGATCAAATTGAAAAATCTCAATTGAAGGAAGGAAAGTTACGAGATATTCAATGGGGTGAAAAACTAGGATATGGTTGATTCACTACAATATTCAAAACCCACCACTGTCATGAGTCATGACCAACTTCAAACTTAGTCTGATTGATTGCTTCCTCTTAACCTTACAATTATAAACTCTAGAACTACTGATTGTATATAGTTTCTAAGTGCCTATATTTTTAGTTTTACCTCTTTTTTCCTTCACATGCTATAACAGCTTTCTTGGATGATATACCAAATGCTGATATCATCTCTTTTGAAAAGAAAAAAAGGCACCAACAACAATTTCGCCTCAAACTCAATCCCAAGCTAAGTTGGAGTTTGCTCCATGAATCTTCACTATCCATATTACTCCATCTCTAAAACACAAGCATTCAACCAATTTTATTTACACCTAAAGAAAGGTTGATCTTGGTTAATTTATAAAAGCAAACTAACTTTATAATTGAGCCTTCTTACTAACTATTCTGAAGTTATGAGATTTGGTGAAAACCCACAGGATCCAATGAAATTTTCTGCGATCAAAATAGTTCCCCAAAAAGACTTTTCGATCCACAAAGGGAATTGAGACAAAAGACCCTCCCAATCTTCTTTCCAATAGTCATGGAAGGTTTTCATTTGATGTTAAGAGCTCCAGATCCTAGCTGGTAGCAAGGGTTTAAAATTGATACCAGAGAGGAAGTTGAGGTTTCCCACATATGGTATGCCGATGATACACTGTAAGTAGATAAAGTATTTTAAAATGATTATGTAGCTTTTGAAGCAATCTCTGGTTACCCATCATGATTTCAGTTAATGCAAACCATTGCATAAATGAATAGGGCAGATTTTGGGTTACAGCGGTGGAGAAATTCCCGATAATTTGTTGGGATTACCATTGCGAGCAAAACAAAAGGATTCTGGTGTTTGGAAGACAGTATCCGGAAAATGTAAATGAAAATTGGATCCTTAGAAAAGACAGTAGTACCTTCGGTGGAAACTAACACACTAGTAAACAGGGTCTTGCATAAAACCCCTACTTGTTCGATGTCATAGATTCCGATTCCAGGCATAGTGGTGAAGAAGCCAAATACAATCAGAAATGATTTTTTATGGGTTTTAGGATAAGGAAAAGGAAGGAGTTCACCTGATGAAATAGGACAGGAATCAGGGAGAAAAGGAAGGGGCATGGGAGTGAAAAAACTGAAACTTCAAAACAAAAGCCCGATGCTGAAATGGTATTGGAGGTATAATGAAGAAAAAAAATGAATTATAGAAGCAACTTCTCATAACTTAATACGGGAAAGATAATGTAAGAAGTAAAAACCAATGACAGCCCCTCATGGCATTGCAGTGCAGACATAATAAATTTGTTAGAAGAATCCAAAACTAAAGGTGGGGAAAGAGCAGAAGATCAGGTTTTGGCTTGTCAAAGGCTGGAGGAGATGGGTTTAAAAGATTTAATTCCACAATGTGTGTCTGGTTACTGATAAAACTGCAATGTTGCAGACTGCCTTAACACTACAGGATGGACTCTACAAAAGAAATTCCTTTAATTGGTAAATTGAAAGGGCAAATATATTGTTTAATAAATTGGAGACTTTTTCTTGTGACAAGTTCAATATATTGGAGACTGCTGTGCTGGATGCAAATTCTACATCCTGGACAAGCAGTAAAACTGGATTCTTTATGGGTAAGTCATGTTATCAGATCCTCGTTAAGCAAGGAAGGACGTAGAAGAACTTGGCCTTGGAAGATGATACAGAAAACCAATTTCCCTCCTGATTTTACTAAGAAATAGGATATAAACAGCAGGTGGCATGTCCGTGAACAAGATACAGAGGCAATTAAGCATCATCTTCTATACTGAAGACAAAATTGTTGATATGGACAATGTTTCTTAACTATATGGAGGTCAATCGGTGATACCAGGTGAAGCAAAGCAGGCTCCAATAAGGTGGCACTTGGCAGGCAGGCCAGGCACAGAAAATCTGGAAAAAAACACAGAAACCATACTGGAAGACCATTCCATCGTGTTTTTCAGACAATATGAACAGAAAGACTGAAAACTTTTCTGATAGACAAAAGGTAAATACCTCACATGTAAAATTTTATGCTTTTGGTATAGGGAAAACATTGTTGTTGATAGAGAGGACATTTTGCACTTGATAGATTTTTTCTTTTGGGATAAGCGGAATCGATAGACTACTTACACCCAATGTTATCAAAGGCGAAAAGCACAAAAAAGCTCTAAGGTTTGTCTGCCATTTTTTAAGCGCAAAGTGAAAATAAAAAGTGGGCGTTAATGAAGAAAGGCGCAAATGGAGAAAAACTACAAATATGTATGCGTAGTCCAAGACTAATATCTATAAGCATGAATACCAAATATATGGAAATAGAAATTGAGGAAAATTTACGATAAAGTGAAATCTCAATTGTTTAGTGTCGCCTCTTCACAATTACGCTCATTGGCAAGGAATAGTATGCCTTAGAGCCTTGACGACAACAATGAAGCGCCCGCTAAGCGGGGCAAAGCGCTCAACATGTTTTGAGCCTTGCTTCAGGGCTGAAGCACGCTTTAAGTGCGCTTTGATAACACTGCTTACACCTATGAAGCAGACAAGCCCAGTGTATTAGATAGTACCTTCTTGGTGCTTCCTTAATAAAATTACCTTACTTTATTAGAAGAAAAAAGAAAGAGATCGATTTGGTTAATACAGGCTGTAGAGGGCATGATTTTTTGTCCTTTAAATTAATTGGTCAGAGTACAATAACACTGACGTCATGATGAGTCATGTGCAATTCAAGGTCTATCCTATAAACAAATGGACATCAACCACAGTACATCCAAGAGGACTCAAATTATTGGGCATAATATGATGCCCACTTACGATAGCTCGATATGTTTACAACCCTTAAATAAGTGTAGAATATATTTCTCCACAGAGGCTTGAGCACCATCAGCGCAAGTGGACCATCTTGCCGAACAAACAAAAGGCATCACAATTTTAATAATTTGGTGCAGACCAAATAAATAAAGAAAGTTGTTATCTCATAAGCAAGTTTGTCCCCTTCCTCCATTTACAGCCAAAAACGCTACCAAAATTGGTCAAATCTCATAAGTAATAGATCCCAAGACCAAAGATAGGGACTCTAACCCCCTAAAAGCTTGTATAAATATAAGCATGTTTAAATTTATAACAAGACTGCCACTCAAATTATTTGTATAAAAGTTTAGCAAATATCAGCAGCTAATCACAGCTAAAAGGTGTAGTAACACAGGATCAGATGCCGGCAATTGATGTTGCCAATATCAATTTAATCATACCTGGAGATGGCGTATTAATGCCATGCCCTTTTTCTGACGCTTAATCCCCCAATGGTCATAAACAGATCTAACGACTTCCATGGACCCTACATCAACCATCAGCTCTTCCAGCTCATCGGGTGTAAAGTGATCACGTTGACGGGCATATGCAACTTTCTCAAACATGTCCATCGTCTTCTCAAACAATTCATCAGATATCTCTTCACATTTACTCTCACCGGAGCAAGAGAAATTATTCTTGGACAACCACTGCTCGTCCTCACTGTCCATGTCATATAATATATGTGACGGATCCATGGCCATGTCAACATCACTTTCAACCTGTCGATAGTACTTTGGTGAAGAGCGAATGAAGGAGACTTCTGATGCATAATCTTCAATTTCTTCTATCAAACGAACACCAGGAATAGGAATGTTTTTAACTGAGGCAGCACGTATATTCCTGTTATAACACTCTTCATGCATCTCCTTGAACAACATCCACTGGCTTCTGTCAGGAAACTCCAGGACCCAATCCTTTCCCCCTTTCCACATCATGGCATGTGTAAAGCGATTGGTAGAGCCAGGCTGCAAAATGTTATGAACTTTATATGAATACTTGGTAACCCCAGAAAATTTGACAGCAATTCTCCATTCATTGTGACCCGCAATTTCCAGGACCACCCGTGCTCCAAATTCTCTCCACCCTTTGTCCGGAACAGTGACCAACACATTTGCATCACAAGATAGTAACTCAATATTTCTCTGTGAGCCACTACAATTATCTGCATTCTTCTTGTCACTAGCTCTTCTGATTCTTTTGTAAGGAAGAGTTCGTGGGCTGTGATTTCTGTGCATTGAACCCAAAGCATAAGATCCGTATGGCAATGTGTACTGCACCTGCGTTCGAGGTTTCTTTGGCCCATTGCCAAATCCACCACGTGTAAAATTTGTCTTCCCATCAACCAACACAGGTGAAATTTCTCCAAAAGGGGAAGAACTCGAGCTGTTTCTGTTACGACACAGCAATCCTCTAGGACCAGAAGGGTTGGGGCTCTGGACCATGCGATCACTCATACCAGCAATAATGGGACATTGGACCACATTACTAGTAACAGTTAGGTTTGGGCTAGAAATCATGCCATCACTTTTATTCAGAGTCAAATGAGATGCCTCGCCCAAGATAATTCCTTTTCCTTCCGATAGTCCCTCTACTTGGTCAAATGATGGAATTACAACACTCATCCCCACCAATCCAGAATGGCACCGAGCACTGGGCAAGCTGTGAGATATATTGTTAGACTGCCTTCTCCCTGGAGATGCAACAAACTGGTCTAATCCTTGACCAACAGATTCCGATTTGTGTGACACAACAATCACATCAGACGTGCCCAATTCAGAATGTTTGGCAATGAAAGAGCTCGGGGTAATATCTAATTGACAATTTTGAGATGACTTCAATGAAACACGTTCACTCAGCTGTTGTTTACACGCTAAACTCCCCAGTTTCCGTTCAGCTAATGATGACCCTCCAGTAACTCCAGTAGATGAAGCTACAATATTCTCAGCGGTATCAGAGCACTCCACCCTACTGCCGTCATCTTTAACTGGCTGGCAAGCATTTATAGAATCATAATCCTGAAGGCTAACACAAGCAAAGTTGCGCTCCATGAGTAACCTGAGATGTAGGCATATGAAGAAAGTGGGTGCAGCAGTAAATGATAGAGCAAAAGGAGGAATTCTTCCGAGCTTCATTGCAGAACTAAAAGTAGAACTAGTAAGCCTTGCACTGGAACACTCTGTCGAGGTGCCTGTGGGCAGGCAAGCTGGCACTAACTTCTTCTGCAAGTAAATAAGATATGATCATGATCACCATGGTTAGTTACAAATAACAATGGTGAAACATAGATGGGGATAAGTAAAATCTGGAAAGAAGGAAAAAGGAAACAGCAAAAGAACAAAAGAGATATAGCATACTACCCTACCTGTAGCATTAAGAACAAAAGATACATCAAAAGATGAAGGCTAGAACGAAGAACAAAATAGCAGACCTACACATCACATTGAGAATGAGAAGTACCTTAAATGAGGAAGGTTCTGCATGAGCATTGAACTGTAATTGCTCGCTTCTGCAATCGAGGGACTTGATATTCTCATATGTGCACTCGGAGAGGGGCAGCTGCTTAGCAAGCAAACTACGTTTCTGAAGCTTGGAGTCCAGGTATAACCATTTTGAATATTTGAGTTTAGAAAAACAGTAAAATGCAAAAGACTGCTGCTTCCTAGAATCCTGAATAGAAGAAAGCCGAAACCTTACTGAAGTTACAGGTAACTGAAGACTTTCAAACCTCCATGCTTCATCAGCTTGATTGAATAATGTTAGGACAAAGAAAATAAAGGCCATGGCGTGGTTGAGGCAACACTCAAATAAAAGAAACCTGAGCCCAACTGCATTATCAACAAAAAGCATCTCCAAAATAATTTTTGGCCACCTTATCACAATGGCACCACGCTGCAGCAGCAAAACAGTGTGAGACAGCCAAATCTGTTCTGCTTCAAGCAGCAACAAAGGCAATGTGGGTAGACATATTACAACCCTGAATTGCTTAGCTTCTAGCAATGGCATGTTTAATCTTAGCACCTCTACATCATTAACTGCAGGCAATAATTTCTCTCTCTCAGGGCCAGGAATGCACATAATACTGGTATTACAGTTCTGCAATCCATCCACAGCTGGTGTAACAGAAACGGTAGAAATATCAGCTCCATAAGCTTTGTCAGCTTCATACACAGGTAATAGTCCATCCCTCTTCTTGTGGAAACGCCTTCGAACATAAACAACAGGTTTTCTATCTTTGTGGCTGCTATGACTTCCAACAAAAGAATTCTCAGCCTTGCTAAGATCAATCAGTTTGTCAGGGAACAAAAGATCACAATCTGGCTTGCCTTTACTGTTGTTCAAGGAACCTAAATTCCAGTTTGTGCTCTCAGTTTTGGCATGTAGCGGTGATGAGACAACAGGGGTAGATAACTGAAACGATTTCTGTTTCTTCGATGGCCTGGAAGGAGAAGACTTTACTCGACGAGATGATCGAGCTAACCAAGATATAATGGGCTCTGAGTCCAGACTGTTACCTGGGTGGCTGTCATCATCTACAGTCAAGTCTAATTTTCTTTTGTCAATGTTTTTCTTAACATTTGCAGATTTCCTGACTTTCTTTTTTCCAGGTACCTCCCCAGGTAAAAGCAAGAGTTTAAACCGCTCAGTTTCTAGGTTTATCCATTCTTCATCTCGGTCATCATATTTAACATGATGGAGTTTCCTCTCTGGGTCAAAATCATTCAAAAGACCATAATACCAACTCTCATCCAATGGCCAAAAGACTTTAATCCTTCGGTTCAATACCCAGTAAGCATCCAAATCCTTAGGAAGAACTTCATAGAAATGACGGCGTTTCCTAGAAATACCCCTCGCTTTGAGCTTCTGCCTTGGTCGTAGAACTCTGCTAGCAGTATCAACTGATGCAGATTCTGAACCAGCCAAGGAATTCCCCTCCCGACTAACAAAATCCTGACCAGAAGTGAGTAAAGAAGATAATCGTTCAGCAGATAGTGATGCTGAAGATCTGCTTTTGGAAGAAAAACCTGTACAACTAGGGTCAAATCTCGAAGACAGCATCCTTGCTGCATTCTGCTCAAGGTTCTCCTCATCATCATCATCCAAAGAATCTTGACAAAAGCTTCCGAAGTTATCTCCAGATGGTAAACCCCTCTTTACAGATTTTCTACTCGTAGATGACGAATCCTTTCTCTTGTTACGAGTACTCCGGTGCTTTCTAGAAGATGCTTCACCATTATTTACAGCTACATGACCATCTTCCTTAGCATGCCGAATTGAACTCGCCTTATCTTTCTTCTTTTCCCGTGATCCATCAACACTTATCTTTCTCTTTACCTTGACGGTAACACCATTGCCAGCCGAACTACTCGGTAATTTAGAAGTCCCTTCATCACTTTTAGCTTCTCCACCAGAAAAGGCCCGCTTTTTTGGAAGCTGATCACCCTCAGTCTCCTCAGGTTCACTTTTTAACTTGCCATTTCCGATGACAGAAGTCCGAATCCTCGATGATAACTGTGAACCTCGACCACTACTATCAAACTTCCTTCGCCCCACAGAACCACGCGGGCGCTTCGGAATTGGAATAGCATTACCATTACTATCTAAACTAAGAGAAAATCCATTCAACCCATTGCTGTAATTCAACCTTTTCTCCAGCCCAGATGATGATAACTGCGATTCAACTGGTCCCCCACTATCCCCCCCATTCACATGATCCTCATCTGTGTTAGTCCTACTCTTCTTCCCAGATGGCTCAGGCTTGTCCAATGACACCTCTTTTATACTCTTCCTCTTCTTCTTCTTCTTCTTCCTAACATCAATATCACTGTCCTCAGCAGAAAATTTCCCCTTCTTCAAATCCCCAAACTTATACAGTGTTTGCAGATCCAAAGACCTTTGTTTCTTCGAATTCTCGACAGAACCACCACCAGATTTTTCTTCGACACCACTTTCCATCTACAATAATCACTCAATAACCGAACAACAAATAATTCCCCAAATTTCATATTCCATCACACATCATATGTTCACACAAAATACGTATTTCCAGATCTGTTAAGCACAAATTCACAACAAAATACTCAATCAAAACACAGAAAACTTCACAATTAACAAAAGAAATGGATACATTTCTTCAATTAAATAGATAAAATCCAACATACAGAAATACACATACCTTTTCCTCGGAATTATCGAACTAGAAACCGAAAATGGCGAAGATCCGCCACATGCAAAGGGTGAAATTCTAGGGCTCCGATCAGAGAATTGAGGGGAAAAAAACTAGTGTGATTTGGTTCGATTGGAAACCCTAACTGATTTATCTTTTTAATTTAAATTTTTGTAAATAATATCGTTTTTCTGAATTTTACCCTTCCTTTTTTTCCCTAAGGAGAGAAACAAAAGCGAAAGTGAGAGAGGTTTTAGGGTTCGTTTTGGTTTTACAATTTTCAGAGAATTTTTTTTTGAGAAATATCGTTCAATAAATTTCGCCACGTGGCATCCTTTATCTCCGTTTATGACTACATTTAACGGTGAGAGATTTGATTTATTGGCAGGGAATTTGAGAAAATATAATGACGTGTTATCTTACGTGGCAAGATCGACGGTGGAGATTAGATGCTCGGTGGTAATTGACGGCTTGGATAAAAGAGTTATTTGGGAAGAGTTCGGTAATTAATTATGGGAGAAAGGGTAGCTTTTCCTTTTATGTGTTAAAACGAAATGGGCATACAATTTATCAAAAATAAAAAATAACAAGAAAGTCCATGGCTTTTTTTTTCCCTGCGTAAATGCAGGTAATAGGGGGTTATTTCACGAAGTTTTAATAAGCATACTCGCTCTTTATCTGTCACGTGGTAAATTTAGCTCATAGACGAAATAAATTTACGCATTTAACATTACCAAATTATTATAGATAAATTAATCATCTTAAATGATGTAACAAAAAATATATTAGCCAAGTATAATTATGTGAGAAATTTTTGTTTGAAGATAGATGTGATGCATTTCTTAATTTGATATATAAGTTTTACGATCCTCCTTTTTTTAAAAATAAATAATAAGTATAAATTTTTTGAGTAATATTTTACTAGTCAATAGCCGAAGGCATTAACCGTAAAACGTGATGTGACCAAGGAAATGAGGTAGGTCCAGCGCTGTTTGGATGGCCCACGAAAATTAGATTCTTAGAATACTCTTTTACTGTAATGAAACAATAAAAGTAGAAAGAACAATATTGTAGAGAAAGAAAGAGCAAATTCTTATTGAATTTTGGGATGAATTACAATGGAATAGAACCCTCTATTTATAGGGAGAGATTGGCTTAGCCACCAAGCAATAAACTCTAGAATCTCTCTAAATATAGACATTCACCTTAAATAGAATTTTATTTATAACACTCCCCCCTTGAATGTCTATTCAACAGATAATGTGCATCGTTAAAACCTTAACTAAAATAAAACCCAGTGGAAAAAAATTCTAGAGAAGGAAAAAGAGTACACATATCTAACAATACGCCTTTTGATTGCCTCATTAAAAACCTTGCAAGGAAAATCCAGTGGGACAAAACCTTGTAAGGGAAAAAGAGTGCAACGCGCATTAACTCCCCTAATGAGAGCATCAATTTACATCCTTGAGCATTTGCATTCCAATCTTGTGCACCATCTTCAAATGATCTTTGGTAGAGATTTGATAAACAAATCAACCATATTAATTTCAATGAATATATTGCATCTTGAAATCATCATTCTTGGTAGAGATGTAATGTCTTCATAAACTTCTGTAGAATGGCCTTTTCAATATCTCCATAGAGGTATTCTCGCTATCACATTATCATGCTTATAGTTATAGCAAGATACATATGTGCACAAATTGCACTTAGAATGTGGTACTTCAAGACCAAGAATTGTATATGCTTTAAGCGACTTAAATCCTTCATGGATTATCATATAAGTTAAGTCATATAAGCCATATAATAGACTTTAGATGCATATCAAGTTTTTATGTCATGCTAGACATATAAGATATCGAAAACTGATTGCACATACCATTGACTTTATACTTTCAAGTATTTGAACAACATAGACAAAATTATGTCTTTCATATGGAATCAATTCTACTTGAATTATGTCTCTTCCATTTGGCCAAACTTTTGTGTCTATATTCGATAGACTTAAGATCCTCATCTATACTTAGCGCTATGATAGATGTCGTCGACAAACATTTTATATCGATTCCAACATTTTTTCATAAAGACATAACATAGAGATCTCTTCATTCATATTTTCAGGTACCTGAATCTCTCATGAGATTTTATGAAGTGTTATGTCATGTGATCTTCTAGATCACTTGTCTCCTTATTATGATCACTTTGATCATTTGCATATCTTCTTTATCAAGAAGTTTTATTTGAAACTGATTTGTCTATATGGTTTAAGCGTACCATAGACTTTGTCCTTCTAGGATTTGATAGGAGCATTTGCAATGAGAATATAGTTACTTTCTTTGGGTCAGCAAATGTGTATAGCATGCTTTGAAATATATTGCAAACGAATTATCTTTTTATGAACTTCAAGTTCATATTATGAT